CGACATTGTCCTTCTAGTCATAGAACTCCGGCATTGAGGATTGGCTTCTCGCTTTTTGGTTATAATACGAGGTGTGGCAATGGAGTGACCTGAATTTCCGCTTGTATGTTACATCCAGTAGCTAATTATCAGTGGCCGAGCGTAAACGACGTGTTTCTGGTCGCGTATTCGGTTTTGGTGGAGCAGATAAGAAGAAATGGCGAAGTTACGCAAGCGAGAGTCTTCGTCTCTGCGGGAAAATTAGTGATGGGATGTTGAATCAACGCGTTAACATCACGTTTTATTCAAAGATATGCTAAATCGCCATTAAAAACTCTGCAGATATTAGCAGATCTTGTGATGCTGACGCTATGGAAAAGTCGAGTGTCTTTGAGTGGCGTAAAGGGTTTAAAAAGGATCGGGAACACATGAAGACAATGCTCACAAGGGCATTGTTCACCTTGAGTTTGTTGAACGAGGTCGAGCAGTGAACCGGAAATGATATTTTGAAATAATGTCAAGGTTATGTGAGGTTCTTCGTCGGGGAAGACCTGGAATTTGGCTTTATGTTTGGATATTGTATCGTGGCAAAGCTCCCTGCTAATGATGTACACGTTTTCCGGGACTCTTTGGCCAAAACGCCGACACTGAAATTAGACCATCTACCATATTATTCAAATTAGTCGTCTTCCGTCAGACACGTCATGCCTCTATCAACTCATCACCGACTAATATTGAACATCAGATAAACCACGCCTTCGTTCTAATATATAAGAGTAATCTGATAAGAATATTTCAATAAACTGCATAACATTATAAATTATTGTAATTCGAGTTTTAAATTTTACCAATCTAATTTTATACCTGAGGACGGTTAAATATAACCGAAACATGTCGTAAGAGACGTTCCAATTTGTAAATCGATCATTCGATGCGGAACGTGAAATGATATTTTAAATATTTTATATTTTATTATCTTATTAAAAATTGTGATTTGACGGAAAATATTAAAATATTAACCTAATTCACAATATGACGCAAATATAATACCTTATGTATTCTTGATTAATTTAACGATGCTTTATAATTATAAGATCATTCGGCATCAAATGTTTGATTAAATAAATGACAGAAAAGTATATTGAGGGCAACTGTCATGGCCTGATTTAGGGAAGTATTTTGAAATTTGACAGAAAAGACTGAAGTTATTAAAAATCAGGATCAGGATAATATGTCTCCGGGCCGAAAACTGAACCCAAGGAATTTTAAATACGAAGCTGGAATGCGACTCGACCATGAATATAGTTTGTTCTGTATCAGGAGAGTATCTGTGTAATTCCACAAATATTTAACTTGGCGGTGATACCAGCGATTTAATTAATATCGTGTTACAGTTCAGGGAGATGGAAGGAGAAAGTGGGACGCCTTTAATGGTAGGTCGTTAATGTATCGAATAATAAACCCTAAATTTTAGGCCCAAAATTAAATCTTGTAGGGATTTCAAATATTTCCGGGATCTTCTCATATTTTGATAAGCGAATTATAATAGTTATTTCGTTTGCATTGAAAACAGTAGAACATGCATTTCTCCGTCTCGCGTCATTCTTTTTCGAAACCTTTGTACAATTCGATTTTATGTCATTGGTACTTATTTCTGGCTCATAACCAGTCACTGTTTCCTCTTAAAATTCCGGTTCTTTCAGCAGTCTTACTGAAATGTGTGAGCAAATTTATTTTATCCTCAAACTAATGACAACTAAACAAATAAACAATATATTTTCTCAATAAAACATTACAGTCACTAAATAAACTGGACCCCAAAGATTATTTGACACAACAGCTGAATCGTTTTATCACGTGATATAAGGCCAAATTGTCAGTGTTGCTAATAGCTGTACGTAAACACCAATCGAGTTATTTGTAAGTCCACCAAGTAATCGATCCACAATAAAGTCCTGATGGTGGTACGTGAACTCAATACCACAGCAATGACTGTACGATGTCATGTATTCTGACTACATAAACCATTAATAATAGAAGTAAATTATAATACTTCATAAAATGGTGGTTTAGAAACAAGCCGTTGTATACGGGCTGCTATATGTTATTTATTTTGTAAAATATATTAAGAGATATACAGAATAAGTCATTTAAATATTTATGTAGATGATATATTAGGACTGATAAATAATATGTTATCAATTCATTTACAACGTGTATGAGAACGTTTAGAATGAATGAAATAAAACTTCAGGTTTCAGGGCCACACACATAGGAATTCAGTGATGTACAGAGCGTATATAGGAATTTACCTTAACAGCAATATTGATGATTGTACGATATGATATTCTATAGTACATAATGTGACACACGTGGTTTTCGTATGGAATTATAACACGTTCAGTGGAAGAAAATGTTTAAAGAATCGCCCTGATGATGGAGGCAGGAAGGACCTCTGAAATGTTGATAAATTTAAAACCTACATAACACTACAGCTCAGAAGACAGTCATCTTAATACTCACCTTCGTCAGAACCTCAAATCTCGCAAAGAATGTTAAAGGACTACGAATTTGAATGGCACTCATACAAAGTTTTGTCGAACTTACGTGTGCAAAAGTATTTAAACATTTCGTCTAATTTCCATGACGCTACACAAGATATGACAGAAGGTACCATTCAGTCTTCGTTAGACATTAGAAGAATGATATTGCAGCTCCACACAGTGTTTAATACAAACATAAAATTTGATATTTTTTACATTTTAAACATCATTTATGGGTCACCCTGTATGATATTATACTAGTCCATAAATATATAATAGTAACGTTATATGAAAAAATTAAGAAGATTAATGTTTTTGATATGACGTTCGATGAAATCACATGTGATGATTTAAGATAAAAAGTGATATAATGATGGAAATTAATTCTGATACATATTTGATATATTATATGAGATTTGATAGGACTTGAAAAGAA